TAGAATTAAGGCAGTTCTGAAGGCGAAAGGGGGTCAAACACCGTATTAGTATGGTGTTCCTAATAATCCTTTAGGTGAGTGTAAATCATACCCTCCTTTAGGAGGATGTAAATTGTTCGTTTTCTCAGTTTGATTACAGAAGACGACTTCATTGTGACATATTTTCGAAAGCATTTTAAAACCAGAGCGACCGGAGGCGCGGTTTGGTGCTCATAAGCTTGTACTGGAAATCTGCTTTGAAACCTACTTTTACAGACAATCATTTCATAATTTGTTGGACTGAGCACTGGCAAAAAATCTTCTGGCTGTGGACATGTCAATGGGCCTTCCGCAGAATCATTTAAATCTTCAACCACTGCAGGTCTGAGCTACAGAAACACGAACTGAAGATTCACAATAAAATATGCGTAGTACGTCTTCAACACACTCTGTTACGATTGGTCGACTGAGCACCACGTTACGCGTGCGAACCAATGGAAAGCGAGGCCCAAAAACTGCGCTGAGAAAAAACGACAGAGGGGCGTGTCTCGGGGGGGTGACGTGACGTCACACGGCAGGTTTGTGTTTACGAGCTGTATCTGGGAGCATGGAGGGCGAGGCGCTACCCCGACCCGTGTAACCGCCACCCTACGATCTGTCAACTGCCGCGTCCCAGCGATGCAGGGCGCATATAGCGAAATAGGGTTTGTACAGCAGATCCTCAGCCTGAATTTGGTACCTAGGGAAAATGGCACCAAATGTGGCAACGACACATCGCTGTGCGGCTTCTCAGGTCAGATACGGTTGTTTAAACATTTTCAAAACCGTCTTCTAACGTGTTTCGGTGTCCGCATGTTTCACGACGTTGGAGGAGCCAATACGGGTAGCATGGCATGCAGTTATCTTTAGCTTACTGGCCACACGGTGAATTCACCGAATAAATGAAAAGTTTGGTGCGGTAGGTGCCTTTTGGGAATGAGGGTAGAACGTCTGTACCCTCGAACATTTAATTACTGGGGGGTCAGGACCACTGTCCCCGCGTGATATTTAAGTCTGGGAGATCAGGGTCTCTGCACCCCGTAACACTTAAGACTGACGGGTTGCGTTGATGTGTGCAGAAGAAGATTATGCAGCAAGAAGATTATCCTGTCCATCTTCTAACTGCATATACTGGTCAGGGTGATGGGTAGTGGCCTGGCACCTATTCCAGCAGCACAGGGCACGAGACTCGGTACATCTTGGACAGGATGCCAGTCCATCACAGGAGTAAGAACATCATGCTTTAGCAGAATTGCATTATGTTGTAAATTTTATGATAAGTGATATGTGATATTATGCATAGTGTGCTAAGTTATTTTGAATGATTATCTAAGTGCGTATGCAAATAGAGTGTGTGTGTTAAATGGAGTGATTTGTTCACGCCAGTTACTGGATCATTTGTGTTGTGCTGCAGGTTCAGTATCTCCAGTCTATAATAAATATGGATGTGTCTTTTGTCACACAATATAAAATGAAAGTGACAACCATGGATAGGCGCTCATGTTGCTGCCTTGTTTTTTGGTTATTGATACCAGCCACTTACAGCATCTGCAAGGGTCCAAAATAAAACTGAACCCAAACCTTGAATGTCATGTGTCCTGAAAGAAACATCCAGTTCTCGTAATTTTATGGCGGTTGTACCAACTTTAAGTTTCAAAGGATCACTGCAAATGTGAGTCAACATTTCATATATTTTAAATATGTGTAAAAAAGACATAAATACTGCAGGTTGTTACTGCAGTGTTTCCCAATCCGGTGCTCAGGGACCCACAGTTGATTGATGTTTTTGCTCCCTCCGAGCTCCCTGTCAGACAATCACATTTTCACTCCCTCCCAGTTCCTGGATGGAGCAAAAAACGTGGACTGTCTGATGGTCCCCGAGGACCGGAATGGGAAACACTGGTGCATCACCTGGGCTACTTTTGGGATTCAGAATGATACCCAGATCACATAGCAGATCTGCCCAAATGCCCTTCTTAAAGGGGCAGTGAGCGCGTCCTGGTTTTCAGACTGGAGAGCTTCTTGGCCCTGATTCATCATGTAGAGGAAGTGGGTGTAGAAATCAGTGTTTGTTATGACTTACTTTCCTTCCCCCTACCCCCCCCACAGAGATGTGGTATGGTGTGTTCCTTTGGGCTGTGGCTTCCTCGCTGGTGTTCCACCTTCCCGCAGCTCTCCTGGCCGTCGCAACCCTACGGTGGCACAAGGTGGCGCGGTTCATGCCCGTCGCCATCCTGCTCATGAGCATCCTGGGCCCAGTGTGTGGGGGGGTCCTCACCAGTGCGTACCCAAAAGAAGCGTCCCACTAAGCATTGAGCATCATCAGCACGTTTCAGACCGCCAGACATAACACATAGCTCACCTTTTTGAAATTCACCGAAAAATCACAAAGTACTCATTGTGCCATAGGGGGCGCCCTGTTAGGTCAAGGCTGTAATGGTCAGTGCTTCCAACACAAGCTCAGCTATGTTTACAGTCTTCAGTCCACATTTCTGAACTAGAAAACTGAATATATTTCATTGACCAAAGCAATTTACATGGTGACATCAAGATCATAGAAACCTTGACAACGTACTGTATAGTTCAAATTGTACTTTCCGGTGACGCTGAAACCACATTAGAAAAGAAATATTCCTGTTCACATTAGTGACCGCAAAATCAGAACTTTTACCCGCTTGGGTTGAGTCATTTCCTTGCCCCTCCTGGGACATGAGCCAGAAGACTTTGTCCTTGACCGTATTACCTGGCATCAGCTGTGATTGGTCACTGTCCCCACTTCTCTCCTTTTCACAGGTGCCGCGATTGCAGGTGTGTACAAAGCGGCAGGGAAGAAGATGATTTCCCTGGAGGCCTTGGTCTTTGGGGTGGGGCAGTCCTTCTGTGTCCTGGTCATCTCCTTCTTCAGGGTCTTAGCCACACTATAACACTGACCCAGGTGGTGCCAAGCAGTGCCTCGAATTGCTGTGGGGCAAGCACTGGCAAGATTGCACATTGCCCTTGACATCTCACAGACAGGCCACACCCTGCTGTCCAGAGCTCTTACAAGCTTTGCAGTGTCTGTATACCCGCAAAGCTTCAGGGAAGGACTCTGGGATTTGACAGCTGGATCATTTTTATTCTCTCTCAGGCAATTTGGGGTCCCCACAGATTTCCATCTGAAATTCAAGTTTTCAGACAAGCAGCTTCTCAGTAGATAGATCTTTCTATTAGTACTGCCGATGTGAGCAAGTCATGTTTAACTCTCACATGTTCTGTGTTCTGTGGCATTCTCAGATGTCGGCTGCTGGGCTGTGATGTCATCACTATGAGACATGGTGCCCATGTTGACTCAGCAGTGACTTGCACTGAACTTCCTTTCCAATATTTAATGAAAACTCTATGCATTCATTTGCGTTTTTCCATTCACAGAGGAAGGTGCAAAATGTTTACAGATGGGTTTCTCTCTCCTGATTTCGGTAGAAGCTTATGATTCAGTAATTGAATTTGCACACGCATTCTGGCCTCTGGTGTTCTCAACACACTTGTACTTCAAATATTTTCAACTTTGAAAAAGAATATTGCAGAGTCTGATGAAAACTAAAGGGTTTCCTTTACATCAATTATGCTTTCTTCTTATATACTTAGACATTTTCAAATTTGGCCTAATGTTTAATATGTTTTATAAACCAATGCATTTTATTTCTGAATATGTAATATCTGACTTGCTTAATAAGCTGTAATTACATTTCTAGAATGTTAACCAAAATATAAGTAAAAAAAAGAAGACGCGTTTGAGGTACACTGGATTTTCTAATGTTAACTGCAAATTTGTGGAACATGAACAATATGTTAAACATAATTTCAGCCAGATGTTTGGCATTAGATTAAAATCCACGTTTAAAAAAACCCTACAAATTACCAGCATTAAAAAGCACAGTCATCTACATGTGGATGGAAAACTCTACAGCTTAAAGACTTTTCAAACGAGTTTGTTCTTCTAATAAATTTGAGCTTTAGGAAAGGAAGAACAGCCCAGTGAATATGATATGGTCATATGTGGGTTGAAAGACACTCATGGGCATGTGTTTGGGATGATGACTTTCTGCTTAATGATACTCCTACCATCTCACTCTGGGGGGGTCCTAGCACTTTACCCTTGTCCTCGTGCTGTTATCATCAATGGGTCTTTGATAAGTTTCATTTGTTATAATTTCACAACCAGCTTCATTTGACCTGCTGTACACTAAGTGCCAATAGTTTTCCATTAACTAGATTTCAGAATAAAATGATGTAAAATGTGACCGTTCTTGTATCCTTCCTTACTTTTAGGAAACTATGATTCTGCAGAAACTTTGAAATAATATTACGTGTTCTGTTTCATTAAAGGTATTTCACGCAAGCGTGTGGTTTGTATAAATAATAATATTACGAATTAGACAGACTGACATGTTCATTTTTGAATTACCGTCTCACGGTTCATCAACCGTGCACGCATCGATGACACGTCATTTTTCCAGAATGTGGTTTTCAACCGGGGGCGCGATCACCAACTAACTTTACAAATAAATACCGATTCGGTGTCCTCTTGAACATATCTAATATCGCCAGCGCATTTTGTCAATTTACCATCTCACCTCTGCGGATATGAAACCACGCTTAAACCAGGATACTCCATATGCTGTACTCGATCGTTAGGAACTATATAAGAGAGTCTGCTTGGGCGACGGAAGGATATCATCGCGGACCGGACACAGGAAAGCGCGCAGGATAACTGGTTAGCTTTACTTTAAACTGTGGACTTAATAATAATAATCATCGATACTTTATTGATCCCCGTGGGGAAATTATTTACTATATTAAATGACTTACGTTGTTTAATCGGTACTGTGTGGAAATAATTGACATTTCAGGTCTGGGTTGTTGGCTTTCTCCTGTGATATATTTTTAAAACGTTAACTAGTGAAAAACGTACTAAACATATACATACTCTGTAATCACGATACAGACTTTAATATATACTTTTTAAAAGTTACTTTACCCTAGGAATGTGCCAATCCACATTTTTTTCAGTTCCGATTCCGATACACTATTGCCGACAGAAGAGCTCTTTTTACTTTAATATTTTGCCCTGCTAAAAAAATGAGTTGTCTTGTGTTTATTCTTTATTGTGATGGATAATGTAACAGCGGAAGTAAAAGTTCACTTTTCCCAGCCTGGATTTTCTCCAATTGTAGCCCCGATATCGGCTGTGTTCTGGCTTAAAAGTTTCTGTTTACCTGAAATATTTGTAGGGTTTCTCATAAAAGGGGAAAGCCACCGAGATTACACCTGATATGTATGTACGTCTCACAGAACCCCCATTCAGTACAAAATGAGGAAGGACCATATAGAGCCATGGATTGAGGACCTGATACAGAGCTATAACATCAAGGAAAGACAAGACAGAATGAAAGCTCACATTCTTGGGGTACTGTTTTAATCCCTGATCAAAAGCATTTGAATCGTCTGAAGTTGGCTGAAAGGTACAGGTTTCTTATTCACATTCTTGGGATGTTTCTCCTCAGTTAGGCAAATTGCCTGATCCACAGGAGAAACTGACAGAGGACCCAGTAGCACTGCTGTTTCTTTCTGATGGGCTGGTCCAGATTCCTGGGATCCTTACCAGGACAGCCTGGGAGAAACTTCAGGAGTGAGTAATCTGTAGTCATCTACTTCTGTGAGAATTCAGGTTTGGTGCAGTATGAGGGAATCGTTCTGGGATATCTGGTGAAGAACACTAGATGATAGTGATGCCTAAATGAAGCTTCATGAACCAGTTGCTGTATTTTTTGGCCCCACTAGATTTGGGGCATGCTTTTTTTTTTTTTAACAGAGAACACCATCTAATGGGGTCAGGATATGCAACAAGTGGTTCATGAAGCTTCATTTGGCCATTACTAGTGGATGTTCCTTCATGATTTGAGCCTCTTAGCCACTCCTTCCATCCTGCCAGGCTGGAAGAGCGAGAGTCCCTCCAGAGCATCACCAAATCAACTGTCTTCCTGTGCAAGTACAACCTTGAGTTTCAGTTGGAACCGGAAGATGTGAGTTGGACGTGTTTGCTGCCTCCCTAGTGCCTAAGCCAGGGGTGGCCAATCTTATCCACAAAGGACCAGTGTGTATGCAGGTTTTTAGGAAACTTTAGGTCAGCTGTTCAAACCTAGGTGTAAGGACTCTAATTAGTAATCTAATTAGGGAGTTGCAGCGAAGATCCGCACACACTGGCCCTTTTTGGATAAGATTGGCCACCCCTGGCCTAAGCTGTTCTGCTAAAGCCTTGCCAAAGTCTCATACTGATCACCTGACCATTGGTTCTCCTTTACTCAGAGCAAGTGCCAGTTCTTCCTGACCATCCATGAAATGGCCACCATGGCTCCTGGGCCAGTCAAGTGTCACATTCCCAGCTGGTAAGAGATGCAGCTTCTGTCCAATAATGAGTGATCCTGGATCAGTTACCTTGTGGCCGATCCGTTGCCACCACATTAGCTGCAGCCTCATTCCATTGACTGTAATACAGCATATAGAGTGACTGGTAAAGGAGATAATGTACATGATTCTGCAGGTGAGTTACCCCAGGGAAGTTGAGCCCTGTTTTCTTATTGGGTGGGGGTTATATGTGGCAGGACGGTGTTTACTGGGTCCTCCATGATGCAGTGCTGCTTCTCTCTTTCAGTACAACCCTTTCCAGTGTGAGGCAAAAGATTTATGAAACCTGGAGGTGAGTTCAGGCCCCCTGGCTTCTCACAGTGCAGGTCATGACTGGTCTCTTGTGTGGGGCTGCTGTGTTAATGTCCATCACTCCCTGATCATGTTCTTCAGGTCCCTGCAGAATGATGGTTCAGTTCTGACCACGTGCACGCAATCAGGTTGGATTCCCAAATTCCCTGACACACACACACACCTTCAAATTTTGTGGCTTGCATGGAGAAATAAATACAAACAGTTGGTGGCACTGTCGCCTCACGCCTCTAGAGTTGGGGGTTCAAATCCCACCGCTCTCTGCACAGTCCAAAGTCATGCATTTGTGTTGTGTCTTAAAATTGGCCAGAGTGTGTATGTGTACATGCACCATGCAGTGGACTGATACCCCAGCCTTTTACCCTTTGCTGCCTGGGATAAGCTAGTCGTTTTTCCACTAATACCATCCAGGTCCTGTCCCAATCATGTGTGTCCTGTTTCCCAGCCTTCTGTTTATCAGAGCTGGTGCTTGAGTGGCAGGACAACAGGACTACCTCCCTGCTGAAGGATCTGTCAGCCTGTCTGCTGAAGCCCTCCAGGTATCACCCTCCATCCCCCCAGCCCTCCACCTCCAGGCAGAGTTGCCCACCTGCCCTGTTGTCCAGGTACCTGACCACTGGTTGGGATACAGACAGGGTCCGATACAAGGTAAGGCGCTTCCCAGAACTCTGGTGCACTTTATTGAAAGAGAAGACGACTGAAGGATTTAAAATTAACTCCTGATGTCCTGATCTGCTGAACCCAGGAGATAACAGGTTTTATTTTTTAGGATTCATGGTACATTAGAAGCTGTAAGCGGACTCTCTTGTCTGGGGTAGTAGGTGTTGGTTTGGGTCTGACCTGGGTGTTGCTATCTGTAAGCTCTTCCCTGGGTTTCCTAGGGGGATCCTCCCTTCACTGTGCCCATCTCCCAACTCAACCTCCCTGCAGAACAGAGACTACAACTCCCCCATGAGTCTGCTGAAGGTAATGCATGCTTCCCTTCATTTACATCTGGGGTGGCCACTCTTATCCAGAAAGGGCCGTTGTGTATGCAGGTTTTTGCTGCAACTCCCTAATTAGAGGACCGATTGGGTATAGTGTCCTCACACCTGAGTTTGAACGGCTGACTTAAAAGTTATCCCAAAATCCTGCATAACACACTGGCCCTGACTGCAGCTCAGGGAGTAATAGTGAGTTCGACCAACCTGTTGGATTGCCTGTGCATTGGCCATATATGGTGAGACAGATCGAACCCCACATTCTTGCTGGTCTGCCTGTGCATCGGTTGATTAGCGCTTGCTCTGCTTTTTCTGTATAGTGAGCCGTGAAGAAGATGCCATCCTACAGGACGTTGAAGATGTGAACAGCTCCCTTATCCAGGATTCCGAGCCTGCTAACCCTTGGGATATGTTTGACTCTGCTGGTGCTGATACATCCTCCCTGCTTTGTGACCAAGGTATGAAAAGAAAGCACATTGTGCTCTTATGGAAATGGGTCCCAGCTTTTATTTGCACCCTTATCTCCCATGATTGCCAGAATCTCCATCTGGATCCATCACCCTGGATGGCATCTGTCCTGCGGCAATGAGCACTCAGGCATTGACCAGTCACAGCCACGAGCTCTTCGTGCCTGCTGCCTGTGATGAGGAGGCCCCGGAATCAGAGACCCGTGGGAATCCCCCAGCACCGAATCCTCCGCTCACCCTGAACAGTGAGGTCTCTGTGAGGTCAGAGGACCGGAGCCTGCCTCCATATCAGAGACCCAGCACCACCTTCACCACACCACCCTGCTCCGATGGACCTCACTCCTCAAGTTTTTTCAGTACCAAAAATACCAGAGATGAAGAGGAGGAACACATCAAGAGGAAGTTAGGGAGAGCCAGGAAGAGGACTCATTCTCTATTGCCCATGACTGAAAAGGGCCCATCTGAGGAAGACGAAGAAGAACCACAGAGTGGAAATACAGGGCTAACCAAGATTAGGAGCCCCCCGTCCTGGCTGCTGGAGACGCAAGAGGGCCAGGGAGGGCCTGGGCTCGGCCAAAATGCCTGCAGCCAAAGCACCACGACAGCTAAAGTCGGCCCTTTTCCAGGACCACAAAGGAAACTGCTCACGGTAAGACCTCCAGGCTGAGCTTGTGTGAGATGAAGACTGGTAGCTATGTGAATATTCTGGTGTTTTGCTGCTGCTTATTTTATTTGGTGGCCTGATGTTCCATACACTTTGTATTGGTGGTGTTCTCTTCAGCTCAGGTGAAGCAGTAACGCTCTTCTTAAACCTCCTGGCTTGTCCTTAACACTTATGCCCCCTGCTGGTTTCTCTGTGGACCAGGCCCCAGTCTTGATTTTGGTCTTTTGGCCTTAGGTTCACTCGGATGGAGCCCCATTCAGCTACAAATATCAACCCACGGTCCGCGTGTTGGAAGCTCTCCGCATCTGCAGGTACTGCCACCTCGTGCCCTAGCCGTGAATGGCACTGTCCTACTTTGAATTCATTGTGCTCTCACACTGCACCCGGTAGCTTGCAGAGGTTCAGCTATATGTGTTTACTATTAGTTAGGATTAGGCCTGTAGAGCTGGTATTGGTGTCGTAACTGGAGAAACTTCAGTGTCTCACAAAAGCTCTCACACAGCCAACACTAATGCAAGGTGCTTTGTTCTGTAGCAGGAGAATCATGCCTTTGGTCTGTTAAACCATATCATGTAAATACGTCCGTATCCCACACTGAGATCTGGATTTGGAAATGTTACATGTTTGTAAATAAGTGTTTTAATTGTAACAGCAAATATGATTACAGGAGGATGTTCATGTACATGATTCCTGTTTCAATTAGCCATGTCACCGGAGCTCTGTACACACTGCTGGAGTAGATTAACTTGTGTATGTCTTTTTGCAGGGTTCCAGACAAGTTTTTGCAGTGGTCTGTTTGGTACCTGGCTCACTCAGACAGGAGAGAGGGTACTGGCTGACCTGTGTGCAGGAGCTGCTGTTTGGCGAAGCTTTGTTTTGTCCAGCCACAAGGTGGCACTGTTTTTCCTTGTGCGTAGGACATTTCATTCAATTGGTGACACACACCAGCTTGATAAGGGAGGGGGGGGCATGTTTACTGTCCCAGAAAGTTCTGGGGGTGATCAGACAGGACCAGTTTGACCCCTTCATGTCAATGGGTTATGGTCCATTGTGGCTGCTGCCCTGAGCTCTTCAATGGTGAAGTCACGGGTGTTTTTAAAGTTCATACTTACAGAGACTCTGTGGTTTTACTGCCTACCCATGTGCCCCCCTGATACAGCAGGGAGCTCCACTTCATGTCACCTAATGGTGATGTTGAAAAGCAATAAAATGTTAGAGTGCAAGTGTTTTCTGTCGTCTGTCTTACAGCCAAGTACTGTTGACACATAGAGGATGATAGTTAAATATCTAGCTGGTGTGAAGCCCCACACTTCTTTGGATAATGGTATCGTCGTGACTGAGGGTTGGCATGACTGATCACGCAGCTCACTCTTCATCTCCAGGAATTTAGACAGTCAGAAGTCTTTAAAAAGTCATTTTTAATTAAAATAATAAGGGGAATCGGCATAGTTGTCTTTTGTGCATTTCTGTGTACAGAATCAGGTATGTGCTGGAATAGTCAGGGTCAGTCCATAGGTTTCTGTGGGAGAGGGGGTGGACTTGCATCTGCCCTCTCTGCCTCTAATCTGGTTTGGTCTGGAGTGATCATCCTTCCCCTTTCTTTGGTGGACTCTTCCTCTCTCGGTCTGCCCCCACCTGAGGTTTGTCCTGTCCACTTTTCCAGAGCTAAAGTATGGTAAGGTAAGATAAGAAGTTTTGTAATCTCAGGGTATTATAAAAAATCCCAGCACACTAGCCCCACCCCCAAACAATAATTAACAGGAATAATACATCTGCTCCTAGTGAAGCAGAAACTTGGAAGGTGTGCATGTCTGCAGTGAGATGGCAAAGGGGCAGGCTGGTGTCCAGCAGGCTGTTGTGAGTCTGTTGACACTGCCATTCATTCCCCTGCTTTCCCCAGACTTCATAAGCGTGGCTGGTCTCCTGTATGTAATCCGCCACTTTGCCCACTTACCCTCCTGTCCATGTGGTTCTTGTGGGGGGGGTCGTTTATGTATTGGTGACCTCAAGGGCCGGGGAGGCACTGCCATCAGCTCTGTGGGAGGAGATTAATAGACACCTTGTGTCAGGGACCACAGCTTTGGTCAACACATCACACCTCTGTAGCATTTTCACTAAATGACCACTATCTTGGCTATGAGAGATCAGTAGAAAGCACTGATTATGCAACATCCTCCTACGGTGATCTTACCCTCAGGGTTCAGTAGGGCCATCTGCTTGCGTAGCACCTCCTCATGGACAGATGTGGTATGGCGGCGAGGTGAGGGCTTTGTTCTGGGTCTCCGGTTTGGGAGGCTGTCTGCTAGAGCAAGAAGTGGAGGGTTTCAGATGCTGCACAGACATGAGTCCCAGATCATCAGCTACACACGCAGACTAGGGTGGGCATGTGAACTAGTCAAGGACTCAACAGCTGCTGTGTTTTGACTGCACTCTCATTAGCCAGAACCCAGCCCTAAAGCACTACGCCCCCTGCAGCCTGCAAATTAGTGCAGTTCTGCTTTAGTTTCTTTTGTCACAGTTTCTAAAGGCCATTGGACTGCAGGCTGTCTATGACTAGAAGGTTGTTGGTTGGAGCCCCAGCCTCAATAGAACAGTCACGTGTCAATGGGCCTTTAAGCAAGGCCCTTAACCCCCAGCTCCAGGGGAGCCGCACATTAACTGACCCTGTGCTGTGACTCCCAGGCTTTGGAGAGCAGGATAGGGTAGGCGAAGAGACAAATTCCTATGTACTCGTACCTGTGTATTAGCCAATAAAAGATTATACTTATAATTTAGACCAGGGTTCCCCAATTGCTGCAGGGCTAGATTCCAACACTGTTTGCAGATTTCCCTGCTCAGACACACCTACTAAACCTGGTAATTAGCTGATTGATGAGTTTGAGCAGGGGAATCAGCAAATGCTGTTGGATTCTGGCCCTCCAGGATTAAAATTGGGCAACCCAGTTTTAAATTCTGGTAAGTAAACCTTGTTAGCCTTGTCTCTCAGTACTCTGAGGTGACTCAAATCAAGACACATGGTGGTACACAGGATGGGGTCTGTACCCCCCATATCTGAAGCTGAAGGTCTGGTGCTCTAGTGCTGAATCAGTACCTTCAGTGACTGACTGTGCTCGGTCTCGCCCATCCCATGGAGTTGTGGGGATGGGTGGAGCCTCCCTCCGACGGGTGGGGTTTGATAGGTGCTTTTGTCGGGGTGGAGCTACAGGAGCTTCTGGTGACAGTGATGGGGGCTTACAGATGGGTCTAGTGGGTGCTGGGGGGCAAGGCCGGTTTGGAGGGGCCAGCCATTCAGGCGATGGCTGGACTCTATGGGATTCCAGGGAGGTTGTGGATGAACGTGATTGGTTCCTGTGATCTGATGGGGGAAAAAGCAGTTTTTCGGTTATGTGTAACTCAGCATTGCTCACATTATGGCTGCCAGCCTGTAGCTTGGCACAGGTCACATGACCATCTGGGTGTTGCTGACCCAGGAAGAAAGCACAGCATGAGGGAGGTGTGTAGGTGCAGTGCCTGATGATGCAGACATGGGGACCAGTGTCCAGGGTTTGAGGGGGATAGTGGGTGGTTTGGGCTTATTGTCAAAGGTGGTTCCCAGAAAAGGTGGGGTAAGATGGGGGGGGGGGGGGGGTCACACTGTACCGGAAATAGGTGATGGGATGGCCTTACCCTCAGAGACCCCTTTCCTCGGCTCACTTTCCTTCTGAATGGAAACAACACAGTAGGTTAACACACTAAACTATACTGCACTGCACCCACCATTATAAGGCTGTGTGTGTGTGTGTAGACACACACACACACACACACACACACGCACATGTACAGTACTCACAGAAAGTCTTTGGACACTTGCATAGTTTGGTAAAAATATTGCTAATTGATTTTATTACAAAATCAGTGTTTCATTTGTTTTCAAAAATATAGGTCACATTAGAAACAATTTCAAATAGTAATAAACTGAAACCCAAATTACAGTTCTATAACTGTTCTGAGTTAAAGTCCACTGACAAGCAGTCTCATTGGGTGCTTTTTAATTAGCATCACCTTTTCAATAACATGAAACACCAAACATTTGTATTTAGTATCCCTTTGGGAACCAGTGACTACAATTGCAATTAATAGCAAAATGGCAAGAAGAGAACTGAATGAAATATGACAATTAATAAAAAAAAATGTCTATGCTGGAGATATGTGCAGGTAAGTTAAACATTGCTTGTCAATGGACTTTTGTTATGAAACCAATACATTTCCAACATGTTTTTGCAAAATTAATAATGTGTCCAATGACATTCTGTGACACTGCGTGGGGGGGAAAAAAAACCCTCAAACTTCACCTGGCTGGGCTTTGCTCCGGATAGCAGCACTGTCCTGGAAACCGCCATGGGCTGGAGGGCATCGTGCAGGACGGGGGGGCTGCCCGTCAACTGTGCCGAGGCCGAGAGTTAGGTCACCACACGTTTCACACACGCAGTCCTACACAGGGCGTCCTGCCCTGTCATGTGTCGGTAGGTTTTTCACTCATTCTAACCTTGTCAGACCCCCCTGAGTCAGCGCTGGGCAGCATGATGAGGGACTGGGCCTTGGCAGCCCGCAGGCCGCGCTGGGAAGCCTCCGGGGGGCGCAGCCGGGCGGGGACTTGCACGTAGGGGTTGGCAGCGTCTCTCTGCAGTGGGACAGGTGCCTTGGCAGGCTCTTCTGCTACAGTTGCCCTCTCGCTGTCTCTCTCTTTCTCTGGCCGCACAGCCATCCTCAGGGGGCGGATGAGGTCAGCGATGCAGGTCTTTTTGATGGTCTGTTCTGGCGCCCCTTCTCCTTTGCAAGGTCGTCCCGCAAACACCCGCTTGAAGGCAAAGAAATCCCTAGACTTTTTCCGTAGGTCCTTGGAGGCGGCTAGTTTCCCCCCGAGGTTGTCTGGTTTCGCTGGAAGCTCTGGGGCCTGCAGGCTGCTGAGGGTTGAGGGTGAGATTGAGTCATACTGCATGTAGGGGTGGTAGAAGTTGTGTGTGTGTGTGTGTGTGTGTGTGTGTCTGTGTGTGTATTATGTTTATATTACATTGTGGGGATCAAATGTTCCCCACAATGTAATAAACCTGTGATTTTGATATTGTGGGGACCATTTTCAGGTCCCCACAAAGATCTGTGAACGCAATCAAAAAATTTTAAATGCCAAAAGTCTCTTATTTTGTTTGGTTACTTATGGTTAAGGTTAGGGCTGGGTAAGGGTTAAGGCTGTCATTGCTGGGATTAGGGTTTTTCCCATAGAAATGAATGGAGAGTCCCCACAAAGATATAACTACAAACCTGTGTATGTTTGTGTGTGATACTTACGGGCAGTTCTCAGGGAGGACTTTCTTGGTGAAAAACTCTTCGAGTCCCTCGTCCACCCTGCCGTCGTTCTCAGAAGCCAAGTTCTCACCTTCAGTGAGCAGCTCCACCTGCAGTTCAAACATGGAAAAATGTAGCCAAAGTGTAGTGTCGTAAATGAACACAAGGGGGCACTCATAATAGAGGGAAACCTCTAGGAGAGGTGGTCTCTATTACTGAGGATAAGGAACATCCATCTGGCTGCCAGCATACCTGGCGTTTGCTGGGTGGGTGTCGGTGGATCCTCTGGGGGCGTGGCCTCGACAGTGTGTGGTGTCTTAGTGTCTGGCTCTCCACAGGCAGCTCCAGAATGGGCTGCTGACCTGCAGGCTCCAGGGGCCCCGTCGAGCTGTGTGCTACTGTGTCCTCCCCCGGGTGGGGCTTCAACTGGCCTGCTGCACTCTCATTGGCTGGAGAGTCTGTCTCCGAATCCAAGAGACCTTCAGAGGGTGTGCAGAGGATAAGAACCAGCAAACAGGAGGGAAAGACACACATACATCAGCGCCCGGGGCAAGTCACTACACACTTTTGACCGACGGTGCTGGGCGGATGCTCCCAGTCGGGAAACCGCTGTGCCAGATGACAGGAACGTACTGTGGACAAGGAGGGAAATCTGTCAGTGCTGACACTGAACACAGGGAATCACGTACAGTCACCGTGGGCACTGAACACGGAATCACAGTCAGTGTTGACACTGAACACAGTGAATCAGAGTCAGTACTGACATTGAACACAGGGAATCACTTGCAGTCAGGGCTCACACTGAATACAATCACTTACAGTCAGTCCTAATACTGAACACAGGAAATCACTTACAGTCATAGCTGACACTGAACACAGAGAATCACTTACAGTTAGTGCTGACACTGAACACAGGGAATCACAGTCAGGGCTCACACTGAACACACTTTATTACTGAACATAATTAGTCCATAGCAGATGAGACAAAGGTTAAGCACCAGACAGCAATCATTAAGACAGGTGTCCCCAGCTACTGTACATTTGCCCTGGGGCTAAATTCCATCAGCAACACAAAGCCAAGGTCTACTGTGTCTGAAAAAAGATGCCAAGCCCTTGATGTCAGTCCGGATTCATTTGTATTTTGTTTCATTTGTATTTTCCACCAGCCGGTGACCACTGATTCAAGGTAATATTGCTATCTTATTTAATCCTTAATGGCAGAGAGATCAGGTTCAGAAAGTACAAATTCAGACCAGGATTTTGTTTCAACTAACCAGTTTAGTACTCCGTGAATATGATGCTTTACGCTCAACTTGTTGGTTGAAACAAAATCTTGGTTTGGATTTGTACTTTCTCAACCTGAACTTTGCACCACTGATTGACGCATTCAGTGGGTGTGTGTCTGATCAGCCCTGTCCCCACCCACCCTGTAACCCATGGCAACTTCTGACCTCATCTGTGGGGAACTCCGCCTCCACCAGTCTGAGCTGAGGGATGTTGGTTCTGGGTGTGGAAGATGCAGAGCCCGGGAGGGTCTGAGTGTGCTCCTTAATATGTCGCTCCTGATGTGGGGGCGTACAGACAGTGTTAGTGCTCAATATTCACATAATTGTGGGGACCATCCAATGATGATTTCTATGGGCATAACCCTAATCCCAACAATGACAACCTTAACCCTACCCAGCCCTAAGCTTAACCATAAGTAACCAAGCAAAATACAAAACTTTTAGCATTATTAGTTTTTTTGATTACATTCACAGATTTTTATAAAATTGATTTTCCCCTTGTGGGGACTGAAAAAATGCCCCCCATTAATACTGTACATGACCCACACACACACACACACACAGCTCACCAGCTTCTGTTGAGATATTGATAAGTCCTGCGTGACTTCGGTGACGATGCTCTCTGCCAGAGACATACTGACTGCCTGTCTCAGTTCACTGGGACAAGAAAGTGGAACAATGGAAAAGAAACAGCCAATCAGAAGCTGACAAAGGGGCCCTCATTCTGAGTCTGTGTGCAAGTGTGAGAGAGGTATCCCCTACCGCAGCCTGCTCTTCACCAGCTGTCCCATCTGCTCCACAAACATGTCCTGGAAGAAGAATGCAACCTGCCGGGACATCCTGTCCACACAGACGGCCACCTGCTCATTGACACTTGACCTTTGTACAACGCGGGGGCAAACGGTCTGTGCAGACTGCAGCATGGTCTGCACCAGCTCCTATTACAGACAGGGGGTGCTGTTGTAGCTGACCAACTTCAACCTGTCATGCTGTGCTGGTGCCATGACACCAGACATTATAGAACAGGAAGAACGTCACTGCGGACATGTGACCTGACCCTCTGTACCTGAACCTCCCCGACAACTTCACTGGTCACCACCCTGGCTGTGTCCTTCAGGATGTTTTGCAGTACATCACTGCTAGGTGGCGCTCTTCCCAATTCAAAAAGAGTCGGCAGCAGCTGTGGGAGGATCTTAGAGTTATTTCTCAACGTGTCACTATGCACTGTTGCAGACAACCCCACAGCAGAGGAATCATATGAGTGACGCACGTTGAGGGACGTTCTGGCGTGACCCAGTACTTCCTCCGCGTGCAGGACATCTGTCTGCACTTCTGGCATGCTGCAGGTGCTGAGTGGACGCATGGACTCCTGCACTTTCAGACAGTGGTTCTGCACTCGCTGATAGACACAGGAGGATGGAGTGTTACCCCGAGGGAAAGCCAAGAAGAAAGCAGTTCAAAGTCAAAGTAAACTTTATTGTCATCTCTGCTGTATACATTACAGTATACAGAGAGACGAGACGACGTGGATCCAGTTTAAAAACAGTACAAAGGACAAACAGGTCACAAAGAACAAGTAATATATAAATAGAATAAGGAATTTACAATTTAAACTGAACTAGAAGTAGAAAAAATATGAAGTTTTTAAACTAGGAGACAAAGAGGCAATGTTACATGCAATATACAGCCTATAATTTTAACAGTTTCGATATAAAGAGTGAAATGATGTGCATTCCATTGAATAACAGCAGTGTTTTCAAGGTCTGATCTAGTCTATGCAAATATATCAACAGCAGTGAGGTGGAGACGACAGACTCTGTGCAATATTTTCAATGGTCTGTGCAAGTATAGAGAAAGTGCAGTCAGTGTTCTGTACAAGCAATGAACACAGAATGTGCAATATTTTAGCAGCGGTCAAGGGAAGAGAATTACAATTACAGTTACAATCATCTGCTGTTGAATGTATGCCAGATCAGCATTAGTTTAAGTCACATGTTCAGTTTGTAAACATAAACAGAGTTCAGTTTCAGTGCAGCATGAGTCAGATTGTTCATAGAGCAGCATCTGCCTCACAAAGACAGTGAATTGTAAGGTGCAGAGGTGCAGTAGAGTCAGGTAGTGCAGTGATGTGGTGTTATGTGCTCTCCCACCCCCCACACACACGGACTGTAGCAGTTCCTCATAAGGCACATTAACAGTTACTCTATATTCTGGTTGTGAGACCAATTTTGGGCTCCCCTGCACTCGAGTAACTCCCCTACTTCAGCCAGATCCTCAGAGGACCCACCACTCGCCAGAGACACCTACCCACCTCAAACAAGCCAGCCATACAATTACAGAACTAAACAATAGTCTTTTTCATATACTGACAGTGACATATCTGTGGGTCAATTATGTTTACTGACAAATTTTACTGGGATATGAGAGGAAACCTGCCCACCTGTTCTGATTGGCTGATCCTCAAGCTCTGTTGGAGTTTGAGCACATGGTCTGACATCACTTCCTGTTTCTGGCTGTTCCTCAGTAGGTAAGTCTGGATCTGTCAGGCCATGACAAAGAAGAAGTGGGTAAAGAGCAGAAGCTTAGCATTTGGTGGCTGCCTGGGGCGGCCGAGCGCTTTACTTTCTGTAAGGCCTCCTCGGTTTTTTCTGGGTTGCTGCGATATGCCTGTGACGCATCACTCACGGGGAAGGACATGTATTGCAGAGTTGAGTTCCTAAAACACATGGGCATATAACAAAACCCATACAGAACAAAGAGGGACAGACATGAGGCAATAACGTGCAGATATAAGTCTCACTTTGACACAAATCTATATAGTACCAGTCAAAATTCTGGACACATGTACTGAAAATCATTTGTTTTTCAGCAAGATAATGACTCTAAAAACAAGTCTACTGGTACTTTAGACATCAATAAGATATGCGCACATGAATCTCACTTTGATACACAGACATAGATCTCAGTATGATACACATAGATCTCACAATAACATGCAGAGACCCAGCACTTATCCTAACTCACTTGTCTAATGCATTGGCCACATCCATGAAACCGCTGGCAGTCACACTGTTTTTGTCCCAAACTAGAGTCCTGCATGGTGCAGAGAGGGGAACACTGAGGGTCCGGGCAACAGTTTGGGGCACAGCCTGTGTTTGTTACAGTGTGTGTTACAGCGTGGTTTAAAGGCTGGGTTACTTCATGTGTTACAGAATTTCTTACCATTGTACAATGCAGGTTACAATGTGTTTCATGGTTACTATGATGCATTGTAGGTTACAGTATTTGTTTCCATGGTACAGTCTAGTCTGGATTACACTGTATTATAGCGTTGGTTACCATGATATAGTACAGGTTACAGTGCTGATCTCCATAGTTTAGTGTGGATTACAGTGTGTAATAAAGCACATTACAGGGTTGGTTACAGTGTGAGTAACAGGGCACGTAACTGCATAAGGGGCTGCATCGCTATGGAAGCCAACGTACTTGAGCTTGGTGTTAATGAGCAGGGCTTTGGCTAACATCTTGGCCCCAGTGTCACCGATATAGTTTCCACTGATGTCCATCTTGGTCAGTGTTGAGTTACAGCCCAGACTGTTAATGAGGATGGTTGTCCCAGTCTTCAGCTTGGAGCCGGACACTGACAGTGACTCCAGGGGCTACGGGAGGCAGATCAGGCCAGACACCAGCAAAGCGGTTCGTTAGTGAGTGCGAGACGTCAGAATGTGATGTCAAGCAATGCGATCTGTTAGTGAGCAAGGCAAGTTGGGGTGTCACGTATTCACAGTCTGATGGGTTACTTAGTGAGACAGGTTAGGGTGTGATGGAGTCAGACTGTATCATGGGTTAATCATTGAAACTAGTCAAGGGTATTACTCACACATTCCTCTTCCTGAATGAGCTGGACAAGCCGGTGTAGGACATCAGTGAGCATTCTGAGGGGAAGAGGAACCCACTCGACACCATCAAAACACACCACACCCTGTCAATCTGCTCAACACCACATTAGTCCACTCAACACCCAAAGAACCTGAGGTACTACAGCACCATAATAGCACTGAACACACAGTACAGTATAAACAGATGCAATAAATGAGGCAGACCACACAGGCTGCTGCCATATTCAGATGCCACCCTCCTGGTAGGCCCAGCAGACTCAAAGCAGTTGGGGCACCTCTATCTCACCGGGATTTCATGGCAAAGTTGCGGCCCAGGGCCAGGTGTCTGATGGAATGGCTCCGTCCGATGGCAAGGATCACGGTAACCATGTCGCTCTCCAGACCTGCATGGGTCATTTCAGTACCAGCATCATTCTCCCTGTTCTCACGTTTGTGAACTCAAGTGACGTTTGAAATAAGGGTGTAGCAGGGACTCATCCCACCATTGTCAGACAGGTCCAGGCTGTTGATGGCCTTGGCCTCGAAGATATGCTCCTGGATCACCTGTGCCCCCGCTGAGCGGAGCTGTTGGCATGACAACAGGACATACCACATACATGAGCTGCACATGTAGCTTCCTGGGTGACAGAGTATGTATGTGTGTGTGTGTGTGTGTGTAAGACAGAGAGAGAGAATGTAAGCCACATACCTCACAGCTACTCAGGTCCAGCTGCAGTCCGGACAGGTGAGTGTTGGTAGCTAAACCCTGCAGCAGCAACCTAGACAAACAGAGTGTGGAAACATACACTCTGCATTATACTGGAGGTATAATCTTCAGGCAGGGCCTGAGCGCATGAGTAAAACCACAGGCATAGCATACACAGCATACACACAGTACATGGAGCACACACACACACACACACAGCATACACACAGCACATGGAGCACACACACACACACACACACAGCATACACACAGCACTTGGAGCACACACACACACACACACACAGCACATGGAGCACACACACACACACACACACAGACACACAGCACATGGAG